TACTCTCATCGGATGCATGACTAAATTGATAAGTGCTGGTGTCAGAGCATATTATTCATTGTCAGCTTCTGAATGGCAGGTCCAAGAGAAGAAACTTGGGTTCTCAAAAGAAGTGCTTATCTACAAACAATGCTATCTTCACCTCACCATGTGTTCTGAGAAATGTGTTCCCACATTTCATGATGACAGAATGGCGGGATGGTGTTACTTTCTATTATTACAACATTCCCATTTCAGCCTTCTCTGAAAGTGATAATCTATGGTCATTCTCACTGATATTTTAATTTATTTGATGAAATGGTGAAATGAGCATATCATTTTTTTTCAATTGCATTATTATTAAAGTAATACTAGATGTACCTTTTGAATTGTAGTTTTTGATTCTCTATGATTTCCTTTCATTTGATGTAACACAATTTGCAAATAAGCTATTTTACAACCCCACACATGAAAATCTACCGTACCTTCAACAGTTATGTTGCTTAATAGGGAAATGAAATTGTTTTGATTGTGAATAAACCTTTACTATCTATTACAAGCTCTAGAGATTCTTCAATTGATTCATATAACTTATCAACTAAGACTTGTTAAAAAGGTAGAAAGTATATTCCTACTTATAAGTATTCAGGGAGCACATTACAGGTAATCTGGTTAACCCTTCAAGTAAAATATCTGAATTCATTAATTTTAAGTATAACAATTTCTAATAACTAAAAAGGAACAGCAATTAGAATTTAAATACTTAGGTAAGTACTTTCTGAATTCTGTCATTATAATACTATAGCCTTTGAAAATTCTTGTTTAATTTTCACCATATTTAGCCACACCCAAGATATGTATGCCAAATACTTTTGACAGAGATCAATATGTCAGCAGATGGAATCTTACATTTTTATTCTTATGCTACCACTACAAATCTCAATGTCAAAAAGGTCAAATGAAACCTTATTACCCAAAGAGATATGCCACTGGAATGTGCTAAAGAATAAATTATAAATTGTTTCA